TGTAGAGGGAGAAAGAGGAAATAGAAAAGCTTTTCTTAATAATAATGCAGTACAGTCAAGAATGAGGTTCCCGTGCTGTTTCTGACATATAGCTTTTGTAGGTGCACTTGGCACTAATTGTGGAGGAAACTGAATTTTCTGCAGTGCATAGGGATTCATTTTGTTTCTGTTCTAGCTGCTGAAGCTACTTAATGAGATGCCTTAATGTCTCTACACTGTGTCTGTTTCAATTCCTACTTGAAACTGTAGCATAACAGTATGGGTCCTCTTTAATTATGCAACACATGTGGAATAGGAGGGAAAGATGAAGAAACATATCAAAATTATGCTTTACTCTTTGCAGATTTTTCCAAAGGATCTTACAGATATGCACCTATGGTGGCTTTCTTTGCCTCTCACACCTATGGGATGACTACTCCTGGCCCCATCAGATTTAACAATCTGGATGTCAACTATGGATCTTCCTATGTCCCAGCAAGTGGAAAGTTCCGTGTTCCATATCTTGGGGTATATGTTTTTGAGTACACCATTGCATCATTCAGTCCTCGCATCTCTGGCTATTTAGTGGTTGATGGACTAGACAAACTCGCTTTCCAATCTGAAAATGTCAGCGGTAACAAGTACATTGACAAGGTAATAACTGGGCATGCTTTACTAGAGCTAAACTACGGTCAAGAAGTCTGGCTCAGACTGGCAACTGGCTCCATCCCAGCTAAGTATCCACCTGTCAGTACATTTACTGGTTACTTGTTGTACCGTACATAAGTCAGCCATAAATGCAAAATACCATTTGAATGAAGCAGTTTGAAGAGTTATTTATCTGTACCTTGAATAGCCTCCTCTCCTGCAATTTAAATTCCATCGCATAATATTGGTTCTCTCTAAGAAAGTTGTTCTCCTCCAGCAGGACAGGTGGAATTTTAAGAGCCCAGGGGCTTGATTCTCCACAACCTTGTTCCTTGTATGACCATTTACTCCAGTGACAAGAGAGTCCACAGGGATATTAATATGAAAAAAAAATCACAAATGTAAGTGAGTGGAAGCTTCTGAACTGATCATGTTTTATGCTCACATACCATGCTCACTGTATGTCTACTTTTACAAGGCAGTGAAAAATCAAACCCGAGGTTTGGATGCGTTGGGTCAAATTTTGCCCTGATTTTCCCTGTGCAACTCCCTGTACTCCAAAGGTGTTGCATAGGTTTGGCAGCTCAGAATTTGAGCCCCTCTTTAGCTTCTTGCATCAAGTTAAAAACTATGTCTATTTTCTTTTTGGCCTTATATAATTTGTGAGTATCTTTATATTTTATCTTTATAAATTAATTTCATACTCAGACAGAAGTTATGGGCTTGATACAGAAGTTATTGAGTAAAGTTCTTTGTCCTAAATTATACAGGAGGCCATGCAGAATAATCGTAGTGGTCCTGGCTGGCCTTGAAATCTAAGAATGAACAGACAAGATTTTGTTTGTTAATGCAAATCAAGATGGGTTCCTTCTGTCTGAGCCAGTCCAAATTGATCTAATGTGGTAAAGCAGCATAATACAAATTAGTGTATGTATCCAAATACATAATGGCTTCATCTAAACTGCAGGGTTTTTGCACAAGAAGCCTTTTGTGCAAGAGTTTTTGTGCAAAAATGCATCCAGACCTCAAAGCCCATCACAAAAGCTTTTGCACAAAAGAGCTTCCACACTGCACGGACACTCTTGTGCAAGAAAGCTTTGATAGCCATTCACAGAATGGCCATCAGAGCCCCTGCACTTTTGCCGATAGGGGTTTCTTACACAAAAACCCCTCTGGAGCATCCACAACCGCAAAGTAGGCATAAAATATGATCAATGATATAAAGAAGCAGAAAGCTCTGGTCTTGTAGCATATCTTCCCAAATGGTCTTCACTTTTCTCGATATAAATGTAAAGCCTAGATTTAAAAATCAGAATTTCAAGGCGGAAAAAGCCCTCTGTAATAGCACGTATACTATAGGCCCAACACCACTCATTATTTGTTAATGGATCTCACGATGCATAAAGTGTCATAAAAATATTCTGCAACTCTTTGACCTACGCACTTCAATGTGCAAAGCCACCAGTGCTAATGTAGGGGCTTTGTAATCCTCTCTTCTGCTTAAGAGACTAGCCCTCAACACCCTGAAACATGTATGCTTCAGCCCTTTCCTTCCCATGTACCACCTTTCTGTAAACACTTGAAATCCCTGATTTGACTCTAATTCATCCTACTTTATCACTGAATTTTATCAAACATACTAACTGCCCTCATATCCAAATCCCCCCTTGTATGACCTTGTCATTTTAATAATGTATTTCTGTGGATATGGCTAAATGGCGTGGAAATTACCCTGCAGATGAAATTCAAATGACCCACCAGAGATTTCATCTCTTTTTAATGTGACTTTCTTTGCCCTTGCTGCCCTTGCCACAAAATCCTTCGAGCTGGGTCTCAGACATCATAGGCACTAATTATATGTTCACAGCAGCCAGATTTTGATAGGTCATCATGTTTTTATTAATTTTTCTGCCACAAAAATTCCAAATTCATTAGCTATGGACCAAGAACTCTGATTAGAATCCAGGCCTTGAGTAGCAATAAATTGGAAATCATCTTACCCAGAAGCAATATTGCTATTCCTATTGCTCCAATAAAGGGGGGAAATAACAGGTCTTTAAAAACATACACACCAAGCTGAATTTCCCTGCAAATAAAGCATATATTTTGCATTAACTCTCACTGATCTTTACATATAAAACAAAGTAGAATTGCCTCTGGGTAACTGTTAAAAACTTATATGCAGATTCTACAGTGTATGTATCTCAGACTTTAAAACTCATTTCTGGGCATGTGACTATGTATATAAGCCACTTAATCTAATAAAGCACATGATACAGAACATAACTGAGTATGAATAAGATCTATCCATGATGCAGAAAAAATAGTGCTCTATCTGGATTCTTATGAGACTCTATTAGAAATCACCCTAAATGATGGCCCCACCAGCGTTTTGCTATTCCTTCCCGTTCATTTTATAAACTCTTTGATTTGCTTTCCCTGATGATACAGAGATACGCAGCTTCACATCTAAACATTATAGCTACCAAAAGCCCTCATAAAGGATCACAAAGACTATCCCAAACCTTTATACAGTACAGCGAACATTGGTCCCTTTATCTGTGTGACTCAATAACCATGGCAACATTATCTGGTTTGGCTTTGACAAGCCCATCCAATTTACTCTGGAGCTTGCATTATCATTTCCTCACCTACACAAGCCTAGCTATGCAGTCTCCCTCATCTTTTTTATCATTCATGCTGAGATCTGCAGTTTTTTCTACCAAACTATACCTTCTTTAGCTGAAGCATTACCCTAAGTCCTTTCCACCTTATTCCTCTATACAAGCCTCAAGAATTAGCACCTGAATAGCTGTCATCAAGTGTAGATAGAAGAGTTATTGGATTTCTTGGGCTCATGTCCTTTTCCTTTTGTTTATTTTATGTCTGTAAAAAACTCTTCTATGGAAGCCTATGTGCCTTTGAAACTCTTACGAGAGCCTTATCTACATCTTTAGGCACCTAAATTAAATTAGAAATCTGGCCCTAGGTGATTGGAAGGAATTTAAAAGGATAATTGCTTCTTATTAAGAGTTAAATTCAGTTACATGAGCAGGAGAGATACATACTCCTGAAAGGCAAAAAGACAATTTTAGACTGTTTCCAAAGGAATGGTACCCACATGTCTTTAACAAGACCATGAAGTTGCAGGCATTATGTTATTCTTATTAATTAGCACTGATAATGTGTGTGGCATTGTACAAGACACAGATAAAAGCATGGACCCTGCCCTGATGTGCTTTATAATGTAAAATCAAACTCGCATTGACTGATCATATCCTGAGTGCATTACACAGTGCCTGAGTAACTTCTGAGACTCGATTAACCTTTTCAGGGGTGTCAGATAGACCAAAGCTAGGATACTTCAGTCCATATTTTTCATTTAATCCTTAATGAATTAGCTTCACACGTCTATACCCATTCAGCTTGTTGTTATAATGCACAGGCCCTTTCACTGAACCAGGTGAAATCATTACAGTTCTGGAGATCTCTGAAGTAGGTGGAAAAGGAGCATCTTCTTGATTTGTTTGGGAGGAAGCCTTTGTATTTGCTGAACCACATTAATTCAAGTCACTATTTCAGTAACGTTCAATGAGAAATACCATGAATTTAACATTGCTGTATATTTAATGTGTGCAGTGAAATCTTGTTTTCATTTTCTGTGTGAGAAATTGGCACTCATTCTTGAACTCCAGCAATAATGTGTGTTGTAAATGCCATTTTGCCTTCACGAGTAAGATCTAATAAACCTTTGCCTTTAAATAGCATTTCATCCTCTAAATGTTTAGGCATGAAAATTCTGTCTGCTATCTTGATAATAAAAGTGCTAAGAAATGCATTATTGGCAGCCTGTTCATTTTAAATGTGCGTCAGTGCCCTAGTACTGAGTACTTAGACATTTGTACTAAGTACAAATGGTTTGGGATGGTTGATTCAAAGGTACGATGATGGTACAGTCACACATTTCATATTAGCACATTGACCCGGCATGGATGTAGGAGTCAGGGCAGAGGGCGTAGGGAGGGATGTAGGAGTCAGGGCAGAGGGGGGCTCAGGGCAGGGGATTGGGGGTGTGAGGGATGCAGGAGTCAAAAAAGAGGGTGGGGGCTCAGGATAGAAATGTGGAAGGTACAGGAGTCAGGGCAGGTGGGGATCAAGGCAGGGCTGGGATGGCGGAGGCTGCACTGCCCAGGATGTAGCTTCCAGTGGCTGACTGGGAAGGGAGAGGCTATGCTGCCCAGCTGGTGGCTTCCTGGGGCTGGCTAGAGTGCCTGGCCAGGGCAGCTGGGGCTGCGCTGCATGACCAGCAGCTCCCCAGGGCTGGCCAGGGTGACATGGGCCACACTGCCCAGCTGGCTGCTTGCCTGTATGAGAACCTTACCCAGATTTAATGGCCAGCAATATTCAGAGTGTGTGTAGACTTCAGGGTTTTTTCGAAAAAACGTCCCCTGCGTCTAGACTGCTGCCGCATTCTTTTGAAAGTAAATCGAAAGAATGTGGCAGCTTTTTCAACTGTGGAAAACCTCGTTTTACAAGGAATAATGTCTTTTTTCAAAAGTGCTCTTTCGAAAAAAGGCACTATGTAATGCAAACTGTGCTTTTTCGAAAGAGAGCATCCAGACTGCCTGGGTGCTCTCTTTTGAAAAAGCGGCTTGCTTTTTTGAAAGTGCTGGTTGTAGTCTAGATGCTCTTTTTCGAACGAGACTTGCAGTCTAGACGTAGCCTAAGAGTCCTGCCCCCAATAGCCACTCTCTTAGGGTACGTCTACACTACATGCCTCTGTCGGCAGAGGCATGTAGATTTGTTTCCCCCCCCCCGCGCGGCTAGTCTGGACACTCCCGTCGACATCAAAGCCCTTTGTCGGCAGCCCCGTTATTCCTTGTGGGATGAGATTTACCGGGGCTGCCAGCAAAGGGCTTTGATGTCGGCAGGGGGAACGTCCAGACTAGCAGCGAGCCATGTAAATGTAAATGAAGCCACGATCATTTAAATCGCGGCTTCATTTACCTTTGCCTACAACCCTAATCTACATGCCTCTGCCGACAGAGGACAAGACACAAGAATTCCAGACACATCCCATTTTCCTGGTGCAAACAAACCCTGTCCCTGACCTTGCTTTAAGTTATGATAAGAAGAAGCTGCCTACCAAATTTGGTGGCCCCAGCTCTTTCCATTTAGAAGGAGTTCTTGACAAACAGACCCACAAACAGATGGTCAGACACACAAACCCTGTCAAATATATAACAGCAGAAATGCTTATGAAAATCTGCTTGACGAAGAGATACTACATTGCTATACAGGATTCTTATCTTAGAAAAAGCAACAGCCAAGGATATGACTGTTTACAAATAACATACAAGTCTTCTAGAAAGCTTCCTATTCAAATCTATGGGTTATGGTAGATACAGTCCAAGCGTTATCTCTGCAATGAGCAAAAGTTCTTGTAAATACCATAAGTCAGGGTTTCCCAAACTTTTTGACACGGGGACCAGTAAATCCATTCACAAACTTTTGGAGGACTGGTAACATTCATTTGCATATTTGCATATTCATTAATCAAATGAAGAATATTCAAATAAGTTGATTCTGGTCCTCCCCAAACCCCCAGTGCCAGCTTTAGCAAAGCTTTTGATATGGTCACCCACAATGTTCTTGCCAGCAAGTTAAGGAATATGGATTGGATAAATGGACTGCAAGACAGACAGAAAGCTGGTTCGACCATGGTTTCCCAAACTTTTTACTTTAGTTGGAATCCTTTTTTTTCAGTACTGTTTTTTGCAGTCCAAAAATATAAACACATAAAAAACAAACTGAGAAAATACCAGACATATAACATGTCTGGTATTTTCTCATTGGATAAGTTTTATTATTACTAGATGTATCAGTTTGTAGTTTTGAACTGCCTGGCTGGTAAATGTGCTCAGGCTGCATGAGTGTGTCTGCCAGCCAGACAGTTCGCAACTATTCGAGGGGTGTGTGTCTGGGGGGGAGGGAACAATAGAATCCCCGGGCCGGACTAACTCGTGCTTTGTGCTTTGGGGGGGGGGGGAAAGGGG